TGTTATAGAATATCCGTTGCTCACTGCAGTTTGATCTCTACTGCGAACACTACTAAAAAAAAACAAGAATAAAGATCAACAAGGCAAAGGCAACGTTCACAGGACGCGACCCCCCGACACACTTAAGTAGGGCACCCAAAAGGCACCAAACAAAAAACCTGGAGTGGACATAAGGGTGAAAGGAGTGGGACATCAAATGTGAAATAATGTTAACTAAAACGGGCCCATAAGGGAATTAAAGTTTAAGATTAGTTATTTATCTTCATATTTGTTATCAAAATTCCAATATATATATTTAGTTTCGCCAATTGTTTTCTCGTTAAGGGCAGAAGCATTCTGCTGGTGGGGACCAAACACCTTTTTCATGAAATGGCACTAACATGTCACATTCCAAGTTTCCAGGATTCTGTTATCTCTATTTCATAAACACAGAGTCTTTGCGAAATAAACAAATGTAAAATATACCAGTGCTGGTGGTGTGTCATTCGGTGCTAGAGTTGTTGTGTCCGATGCTTAGATGTCTGGTCGATGGACGTCATTTACTAATTCGGTCTATGGAAGGGGTCATCCTGATTGTATTTCAAACATTTTCCTAGTTTCTGTTAGGTTTTCACTTTTTGAGTTAATGAACGTGTAACATATATGTCTGTTCTTAAAACTAAACCTCATGCGTACAAGTTATTTGTATACCATTTTCTTCGAACTTTTTACAAATCAATATATTCTTTAACAGAACAAATTACCGCGGACTATAACAAGTAATGCTAGCGTTTGTCTAATAAAAGTAAATTATGGTGATGAAATTCTGTACGCTAAGTATACGTTTTTAATCTTTATTAAATCAACATATTTCGATTCCGCCTACTCGTTGACTATTTTATGCTTATTTTGTCTGTGCAAATATATTTTATTTGTACTTTGTATGTAAACGGCTCTATATTTTTCGTCGATTATCAGACAGAAAGTAGGCATGGATGAAAGCAGGCTGCATTTAAAGTGCGATTCTTTATACTTTGTTTAATGAAACGACTTGTTAAAGAGTATTTACGACTATGTTAGACTTGTAACAAAAGAAAGAAATACAAAATGCTATTGTATTTTTGCATTCAGGGCAGGTATATTTATATAGTAATGGTGAATATAGTTTGGTATTAAAAGACCTGAAAAAAATGTACAAATTGAATGAGGGATATTTACAATGTGGTTTTTTTTATCTCATAATTATTGTCATATGGTTAATTTGAAAATGCCAGCTTATATATTAGTATCAAGAATAAACGATGCTAGAAAAACGAGGCTGACTTTAAGAATCTGCTTCTATCACAATTTCATAGAAAAGGTCGTAAAGTACAAAACACAAACAACAACAACAAAAGAGAGATTTGATTGGCTTTTGTTGTGTTAAGTATAAAGTGATACATTGGCATTAACTTACATCCATTCATATGTTTTCCGTTGGCCGGAAATGTTTCCATTCCTCATGTTGACTGACCTTCCTCTTTGTATGCAATATCATTTGGGTCATTGAAAAAGGAAATAAGGTAACAGTTGGAAGCATTTTAAGATTATAGAATATTACACATTTATTCACAATAACATTTAACTACGTCGTAAAATATAAACAAGCTTGTTTTACTTATTGCGTTTAATGCTCATAATTTACCCATTATGTGTGGACGTTATCTTGCTATTACCACTACCGTACATGTACAAACCCAATCAAACAGAGCCTGAAACTTTCTCAATTCTGCCGATTTGGGCGTTCTTTAGGGATTTCGTCTTTCTTCTCATTTTTATTCATTTGACTAAATTATTAAATAATTTCTACAGCATATTTAAAACAAAAATAACGTAGCCTCTGTTATTCCATTAAATTTAATGATTTTATACCAATATCAAAGAAGCCTAAGCTAATTCATTGTATTTCGAAACCATCTTGTCTATGTATCAAAGTTAATAAAATAACGATAAATCACAAAAATGCCGTATATCAAGATGACCTTTAAGATAATCGTTACCATTGACAATTTAAAAAGAAAATACTCCAACTATTGTGGTAAATATTGAAAATATTGTTAAATCTAAAATAACAAGAATAAAGATCAACAAGGCAAAAGCAACGTTCACAGGACGCTGCCACCGGACACACCCAAGTAGGGCACACAGAAGGCACCAAACAAAAACCTGGAGTGGACACAAGGGCGAAAGGAGTAATGTGAAATAATATAAACAAAAACGGGCCCATAAGGGAATTTAAGGGATAATTTTAACTTTAATGGGGAAATCGAATTATCTTTTAGGAAAAAAGATAACAAAAACATTAACGTTAACGGCACTTAAGTTTGTACAGGATATATTTTCAATTCATGGCTGAATCTTTTATATGCTTCTGAATTATTGTTTTATGAACAAAAAGATTTATACATATTTTATATGATCTATCAATATAAATTATTCGGACATCAGTAATATATAATGGAGTACAATTACATAATGTCTTTAAGGATTATTTAAGTTTGAATACATAAACATAATCAATTTTATGGTTTCTGGAGTTCTTTTGGGATTCTGTTTTTCTCTATTTAATTATTTTTTTGAAAGTGAATTGTCATTTATTATCTGCGATAAGTGTTTCCTTCCCTTCCCTATCATTTATTTTTGAATGAAGTTAATAAGAGGCTAATTATTTATCATTAAAATGACTTCAATAAATTGACTGTATTTTTGATGATTTACATACTATATTGCCGTTTACAAATGCCGTATCTCTTTAAATAGAAATATGCAGGCCCAGTCAAGATTCAATATTGTTAGATAATCTGCTTTCATACATTAATTTAATAATTTCTTATGATTATCTTATTGCGTTAGAAATAATTATCAAAAGTAATTTCAACGTCTGTTTGTTCGGTTATCTTGTTTTGCTTCAGTAGTCCTGTGTAACTGGCTTCTGCAGTTTTCTATAAGTGTTTGTTTCAATCCATTTAGCGACATCTTCTTCACACGCATTGCATGTTTCGGGCACACCAGAACCCACGACGGAAAGAACGTCTCAACGAAGACTGCATAAAACTTGAAACAAAAATGGGTAAATATAGAGAAAAACCAGGAGGGTCGAAATACATTTCGGTTTTAAAAAAAGGTTTGAATTTTATATAAAAGTTAAAAACCTACACAGTGATTTATCTATTTTCACCTTCATATATGGTGTTATAGCGCACATATGGCGTTCACCCGTGAGTTTTTTTTATATTTCCTGAAAATATCTACCAGAGTAAAAGCGAAAAGAGTTTGAAATATAATTTTTACTTAACTATGACGTACAATCATTCATACAATTACACCGATGTAGTTTGATCGCATTTACTTCCAGGCAAGCAATCAGCCGCCTATCAGAAGCTATTTCCTTTAGTTAGCGGTATCATTTCCTTATCAGACAAATAGATCACTCGAGTATCCTTATATTGTACCACCGTTGGTGCTTTCATTCTACATTATAGATATAGATTTTAGTTAGTAAGTAAAGTTAACTTTCAAACAAGGCTTTATTTCAGGCCCGTTATATCCATCAAATGTTTTTGATTTTATAAATAGATGTTGTTTTGCTTTTTAGTTATTGTTTTGTTGTTGTTTTTTTTTGTTGTTTTTTTTGTTGTTGTTGTTTTGTTTGTTTTTTTGTGTGTGTATGTGTGTGTGTGTGTGTATGCGCGCGTGCGTTGGTGCGTGCCTGCGTTCGTGAGTGCGTGAGTGAGTGACAACAAATACTCTCCTCTCAAACTTTTGAAAAATATAAGAAAGTTAACCGTTTTGACAAAATAAATTTAAACAAAATAATTTACATTGTTTTATATCCTTTCATAAATGTTATGAACAATCAGGTAATATTATAAAGATGAAATCTAATATCACATGTAGCATCATTAATCCAATTGCTATGATAAAAATATGAATCGACAATACCATTTACGTGGTAGTGATAAATAACTTGTCATAGTACTTGTGACTCTAAGTACTCGAGCATTTGAATAGATACAACTGATATCAACATTATCGTGCTATATTAATTATTAATTTTTGGAATATAACAACTTAAGTCCGTTTCGATAGTAATTAACTTCATGCTCAAAAGAACCCTTGACACGCCTTCAAAGTGGCATATTGTCCATCAAAGTAAATAAAAAATAATTGTACACATAGAAAAGTTGAAATGATTTTCACATTTAGCCATAGTTGGGGGGGGGGGGGGTAATTTGTTGTTGTTGTTCATCTTTTTTTTTTCTTTGTTTCTTTTTTCTTTGTTTTGTTGTTAATGTTTTTGTTGTAGTTTTTGTTTACATGTATAAAAAATAACCCATGTGGCTCAAATAATTTTCAGATTGTATGGTTAATGTATAATTAATAAAAAAAGTGGGGCAGTCTTTTTTATATTTAATATGTTTTATGCAGTTTTTATATATATTTCATCTTATGATTTTAACAATTGGTCAATAAGCATTATTAGTCCGTTATCTTAATTCTACTCATCTTGACATAAAAACTATTTTACCATTCAATTTATTCAGTATTGTGAAAATACTTACATTGAATATAGATGGATTGCAAACAACTACTGCAATAGTAAAGATTTATATCATGTATCACGTGAAATAAAAACAGTAAATATCACTTTTAAAACGAAAAAATTGAGTCACTAGCTACATAGGGATTTAATATATTCTTGCAATGTTTGTGTCCCTTAAAATGTTGTAAAATTCTGTGCAAAATAAAGAAGAAAAAAAGAAGATTTTATATTTTTTGTAAGGGCAAGATACTAAAAACATGTGTGTTCTTTTTCACATTATTTGTATACGTGTTATTAGTTCAAAAAAGATCCTTTTAATGGTTTACGATTTATTTCCAACGCATGTTTATCGAACTGGAGAATTATCATAACAACCTTAACTAGTTTTATTTAATATTTATTTATATATGTGCGCATTAGTATGTACAGTATTCATCTATCTATATCTAGTCCCCTAGTCACATTTCAATAGCATTAAAATATGTAACGAAAAATGAAAGAAATTTGTTCGATAAAATATTATGTTCAATTATGATCGGAGCTCAGATACAATGCATTACGGACTGCACACTAAATGAATCGCTTATAATCAAACATAAATATCCTCAAATCATTGCAAAAAGATTTATGCTTCAACAAATTTGAACAAGGACCTGTCGTCAATAATATTTAATTTTGATGTAACATGTTGGTCTTCATCTAGTCGAACATAACGACCTGTTGATTTGGTCTGTATCCTGAAATAATCAACTGTTTCCATGGTTACTAAGTAGCGCATGTTGTTGTCATCGATGTTTTGCCTACCGTGTAAAGTTTGGAACGGCGACCCCGAAACATTGTAACCGTCGTACATATAAACAGTCGGTCTGGCAACAGACTAAAATTATAAAAATAAATAAATGTAAGTAAAAACCTTCAAATATTTTAATCGTGTATGAAGTTTTTGTTTTTTGTTGTTTTTTTTTTAGTATGTTTTTGAAATTGAGTAGGGCATGCGTGAAATCATCGCCAAACCTGCTAAATACAGCAGCAGAATATTTTGTTCTGGAACACTTTATTCTGTTTACGTATAATATTCATATATATTAAATAACTCAAACAATGTATGTTCAAAATCTTTCAAGATGCAACCATGTTCTGAAAACAACAAAATTGTCATGTTTTTTTGTTTGTTTTTTGTTTTGTATTTGTTGTTGTTGTTGTTGTTGTTTTTTCCAAACTTTATGAGTATCGTCATCAGATATGGCTTGATCAATAGTATGATAGTTCGTCATCGCGCATCTGCAAAATTCTTCCAACCGGACTCGAAGTAAAAATATGTTTTTATTCTAAAACATAGTTAAAATATCGAAAAATAACGAAGCGCACCAAAGATTTCTTATTAGTAGATGTTCTTGATATAAATTTAAAACAAACGTTGAAAGTTTTACTGCCTAGATAAGTCCTGAAAACGGGACAAGTTTTTTCTCTACGGACTCCCAAACAAAAAAAATATCCCGTTTTCAGGCTTAAACCAGAGAGTAAAACTTAAAACGTTTTTTTTTTAATTATATCAAGTGCTCAAGCCGATATTTGGTGCGCCAGTCCGATTGGGAGCATTTTGCAGGTGCGCTATGAGGTAGTATACTACTATTGTTAGTACACTTTACGTTAAAAAAAACAAGATCAATGTATACAGAATTTAGAACAAATTGTTTAAAGGACAATAATCCTAAAGTTGTGAAATAGTTTCATAGTTAAATTAATAGTTAATAGTTGCATTAAATTCAACAACCTCTATTTTATAAGATCCGTCGTCTTCTTGCTTCATGAAGAGAAACCTCACAAATGCATCATCTGGTTGAGCTAGTGAAGAAACTATACGGTTTCTACCTGCTCCATTATAATGCCAAAACTCATCATTTTCTTTGACATAAATCTTAAAATGTTTTCCATCCAGAACAGGCATTGCTGAAAACGTATTATTAAAAAATACTATTTAAGCTAGCATGTAACGAAGTGGAATAAAAAATTATTTATTCATAATAGTAATGCTTTAACAGTCAGTTTTTAAAAAATCTTAATAAAATGCACAATTATTACTTTCTTTAATATACATCATTCAGCATATAAGCTATTATCATGTTTACCCCATTAATTGTCATCTTTGATTTAAACAATATTGCTTACATTATTTGATTTTAATCAAAATGTAATTTGATTTGAATAGGAATTTATAATAAAACAAATTTTTGTAGATACTATACACTAATTCCACGGATAATTTTGCAACTGTTAGTCGAAAGTTCGTTCCAATCCTCTTATGCCCGGTTCGAGAAGAGAATATAATGACTATAACAGCTTAGAAGAGAAACCCAATCGAACGCAAAAGTATCAAAAAGGCGATCTGTCATATTTTATTTCATATATTTATTGAAAAACTGTTAGAAACATCTAGAGCATATCATTATTGTGTTTTTATATTTATTCTGACATATCTTTTTCCAACACTTCTTGCCATCGCGCAATCGAACAGGTATCTACCTATAACGGAAGCTCTTCTAAAGTATCAATCAAACAGGCTATTAGTGTTAAAATGACCAATGAAAATTCTGCCTTTATTCATTTCTTTACTGTTAATTTTACCGGAAGTCAAGGTGAAATCAGACGGCCTTCGGCCGAATAATGTGATATTAACCGGCAGATGACAAATTGACCGAGGCGATAGCAGATGTCAATATGACTTTCTGCCGGTGAATATCACATCATATTCAATGGTTCACTAGTTAATAATTGTTTCATAATATAAATAGGCTAATAATTAAAACAAGAGGGCCAAGATGGCCCTAGATTGCTCACCTGACCCATCGATCACATCCGAGCAATTACCTAGACAAGCATTCTGACCAAGTTTCATGACAGGTGAGTCAAAAATGTGTCCACTAGAGTGTTAACAAGGATTTGCCATATTTGAGCAGTGTGACCTTGATTTTGACCCTAGGTGACCCATATTCGAACTTGACCTAGAAATCATCAAAACAAACTATCAGACCAACTTCCAAATGTGTTTACAAATTTTTACCTCCTGTGACCTAGTTTTTTATTTGAGATAGTCCATGTTCGAACTCATCAAAGCAATTACATAGGCAAGCATTCTGATCAAGTTTGATAACAATTGAGTCAAAAAAAATTCTTGACAAAGTTTGATGATGATTGCCGCAAAAATGTGACCGCTAGAGTGTTAACAAACAAATATGGACGGACGACTGACATTCAACGATCCTAAAAGCTCACCCTGAGCTAGCTCAGGTGAGCTAAAAATCACAAAAAGTGCAACCTTATACACAAATGTTCATGTGTTTCATTGGGGCGCGGGAAAAAAGACGCACGTGTTAGGACTGCAACGGCTACGCGAACACTGCGCATACAAAAGCAATTCAAGTTTATACTATCAAATGTTGCGGTGTAGCCTGTAAGTATAATAGTGAAGTAATGACATTTTAATCGAGAAATGTGCTTTAAAGAACAATACGCAAAAAATAAAAATATTTTTAATGCGCGCACGTAATTAACAGTCTACGGTGTATGGTCATATTGAATATAAACATAGGAACTCGAGAACGGGACCGCAGATCGCGGCGCATATTTGCGATAGTGAACGGTTTTTAAAAATGTTTCTACTATGAGTATTATCCGAGTATATGACCTCAAACAATATATTATCAATTGAACACAATTTGTTATTATTAAAAACTGGTTAAATTTTACGGTAATATTTTTCAATTTACCGTAAATTTAACTGATTTTTAAATTAGCAGTTATATTAAATTGAGATATTACATAATGAAAGACCACCCACTCGCATAATATGAAAAGATATTCAAAGGTCGGACATACAATATGTAAAGCCGGTACGGATTCGGATTTATGCGCCGCAATATGCGGATCTGTTCCAGAGTTCCTATGAATATAATAAACTACGCTAAAAGTATAACAAGAAAAGCATTGATGCAAAGCATCAAAGGCGACGCCAAAAAAAAAGATCAAGTTTTGCACCTAAATACTTAACAAAAGATATAGCAGTACCATTACATGTGACCTGGAGGCTAGGTCCAGTTTAAATTGAAACTTAAAACAAAAGGATTGGTGCAAGATGCAAAGACAATAATTTTTAGTCAATTAACCAATCACTTTATAAGACTCATGCCATAAGAGAGAATTTCTTCAGATATATTTTACCAGATACAAGGATACCTGAGTCATCAGCATAAAACAAAAGCTTATTGCTTAGGGTTGCAGACATGTCATTGACATATATTTGACATAAAAGAAGACCTAAAATGAATCTCAGGGGGACACCAAAGGTACTCGGAATGTAATAGAATGAGTACCAGCCACATCCGCCAGCTGCTGCTCATCAGAGATAAGACTTGAACCATGTAAGAATGCCATTACCTATGGCAAATGCTAGAAGTTTCATGAAGAAGAAGAAGAACTTCTTCATGTGCAGTTTAGTGTGATCAACTGTAGCAAATGCCTTTTTTAGATCTAAAAGTATCATGCATACAATACTGCCTTTGTCCATTTCAAATTTAATACACTCTGTTAAATGAATCAAACATGTGTCAGTTGAAAAACCACTTCTAAACCCTGAATGAAACTGCTTGACCATGACTCGAACCCATGGCTGTCAAAAGACGAACTGAGCTATCCGGTCAGCTACACATTTTCTCTTTAATAATGAACAGTTCTAAATCACATCATATTTCCCCACTATATTGATTTGTGTCCTTGAATTTCTGATGGTGACAGAGCATAGTGAATTAAACTCAGGGTTATATGCAGTCACAGGATGAGAAAAACTTTCAGCCTGACCGGAACTCGAACCTGTGACCCACAGAAGAATGTACTGCGGCTGTAGCGATTGAGCTATCTGGCCGCTTAGACATTTTCTCCCCTAAATAGTGAACAGTTCTTAACCGTGACAGATACTTGTAGATTTTTTAATTAACAGGTAGATTAATTCTTAATTAAATACATAAGAGAAAAAACTTACATACTCATAGTCTTAATCAAAATAACAATTTATGTATTGTATAATTATTTTTACCAAAAAAGGGCTTAGACACTTATTGATTGTGCCATTATTTATAACAATATAATAGAATAGATAAATACAGAATCCCTAAAGAAAGCCCAACACGACAAAATTGAAAATGTTGCAGGCTCGGTTTGATTGAGCCTGTTCATGGACGGTACTGGTAAGTGCAAGTTACCGTCCACGCCCCCTAGCACCGGCTTAAGCAGAATTCAACATTTAAACATGAAATAGTAAAATTTTGAATTTACAAAATGAACATCTGTACTTATACATGTACATTATCTTATTTTTGTACAGATAAAAAACTAACCTTTTTCTTTGATAAAAATTTTTATGGGGGCTGATTTGTATTTTGCATCATGGGGCACCGAGCGAAAACATGAAAATACAACAAACTAACCTCTTTGTGGTAGATTGTATTTTCATGTTTTCATCTGGCGCCCGGTTACTTTTTGTACTTTGTCGGTTTACATGTGGCACAAATCACCAACTATAAAATTTCAAGTGCAAGTAACAATCTACTCTATGAAAAGTCTGGAGTCGGGTTGACTCTGGAGACCTGAAGGTTGAGACCGGTGTCCCTCCATTACAAATAGATAAAACAAAAGCTGTCCTTTTCAAACTATGCACATGTTAGAAAAAATTGAATAACAGCTCAGAATATGATTTTTGAGACTTTATAAATTACATTCTTGATCCATGTTAAGGACATTCTCTTCCCTAAAAGGACCAGTACTGACCTACTAAGTTAAAACAGAGTGTGGAATATATATCTATATTGCCATGCAACCGTCCTGTGGAATTGCACTATGGACCCTGCCGTCACTCAGTAATGGACACTAATTTAACCTCAATTCTGGATAAGTCATTGTGTTTTCAGAAAATAAACCACAACATCCAGGCTAAGTCACCCTTTACAATATTCTAACTGTAACTCTTTAAATACAGAAATATTATAAGTCTCACCATGTCCATATACAAAGATATACATATATGCACGTAACATTAATAATTCCCAGTTTCTATTTAATAAATATGAAATCCTAACATAAACATTAACATTGGTACTAATGGATGGAATTCAAAATCTAGTACAAAGAAAACTATAATGTTTAAACTCTATTATAGATACTATTATCAGCCAGCTAACACTGGGTATAAACACCTTTAATATGTAGACTAATCAATACATGTATAATTTTTATATTTATAAATTTAAATACAAGTCTCATCCATCATAACTGTAAGTCTTTAGATACAGAAATATTTTAAGTCACATTATATCCATATACTAAGATATACATGTATTCACATAACATAAATAATTCCCAGTTTCCATTAAAAATAAATATAACATCCTATTAACATTGGTATAAACATTGGTACTTGGATGGAATTCATAATCTTGTAGAAAGATAACTACATGTATAATGTATAGTATAAAATAAAAATCTCAAATAGTCTTTATCATAAAATAAAGATTGAGTTGTGTTAGTGTTTAAACATTAAATGTATATCTCTTACAATAACAAATACTGTTCCTCTTTTAACCTTCCATTAGACTATACTATATAATTAAGTGCATATACATTGTATATCAAGTGTTTAAAATTGACAATTTCAGGATGTTATCCTTTCTCTGTTTCAATATATGGACATGAGCACCTATATGCAAAGCTTTAATTTTCTAACTTTCATTTTTACCAAAGGTAATTTTAATAACAAATTATATACAAAAACACATAGAAAATAATAATTAGTTTCCACATATAGTGATTAGAAGATTCCTGTAATAGTGCAAAAATACCTGTAGGTATTTTTTAACTAACTGAACAAACTAGAAAATCCAGTCTAACGGTATATAAAAGCCAGT